ATCCCTGCGCCTCCTTCCCGGCGGCCTCCCGTCCGCGCCGTTTGGTTTGGGTACCCGGGGCCCTGGTAAAACCAGACGCCGAGTCGCTCCTCCGCACCGGAGTTGCTGTCATTTTCCTCCTGCCTCTGGGCGCCTGGGGTTGGAAGGATGTCCTGCAAAATGGCTCCATCGGCCGCCACCTTCCTCTGAGAGGCGCTCAGGGCCCGCGCGCCCTGTCCGCCCACCTCATTTGGTGGGTGCCAGGCCAGGGGCTCCCCCACCGCTCCTGACTGGGAGGAGGGGTTGCTCCAGCCCTGCGTTTCCTTAACACTCGGGAGGAGAGTAGAAAGAGGCCCTGATCCCTTTGAATTGAGTAAGAATCGTGCCGGAGCCAGGCGCTCTTGGGAGAGCCCTCCCGAGGCCGCTCCTCCAGTAGGGGTCCCTGTTCTGATGAAGCATGTGCTGTTCCCCTAACCGCCGCTTTATCAGTTGCTGCTGGCTCTTGACTTAGTCTACAGATGTGTGTAGTCCCCCTTTTGGGGGGGGCGGTTCAGTTTGGCAGGAGTGAGCTTTGTTTCCTCCCCTTTCTACTGAGAGACAGACCCCAAGCCATTAGTGGGTGAAATTGATTCTAATATTTATTACCATCTGGACTGAGGGTTAGATCTGACAACACTCTGACCGCTGAAGGAAGGCCAGGCAGGCAGGATTGTGAAGACGGGACAGCCCAGCTTACTGGGGATGCTGGGCCTGGAGGCAAACGCTGCCTTGCTCTGTTGCTGACCTCATCGACCCCAGCCAGGTCCCCTGGTTAAAACTGCATGCATACTACTGGCCTGGCACCCATCCACCCACGGAGCGATCCCTGAGGCTGTGCCCTCTGGGGCACGAGCACGGCAGGGCCAGCCACCATGAGACTGAGTTCCCTGTTGGCTCTGCTGCGACCGGCACTGCCACTCATCTTGGGGCTGTCTCTGGGATGCAGCCTGAGCCTCTTGCGGGTTTCCTGGATCCAGGGTGAGGGAGAAGACCCCTGTGTAGAGGCTGTGGGGGAACCAGGAGGGCCGCAGAATCCTGACTCAAGACCTGGGCTCGACCAAAGTGATGAGTTCAAACCCCGGATTGTCCCCTACTACAGGGATCCCAACAAGCCTTACAAGAAGGTGCTCAGGTGAGAGCTGCGCACGGGCATAGTCCCCCGACCCCAGGTTAGGGCTGCTCTAAGTCCTTGCCTCTGCCTTCGCTGGTGATCCATGCTGGGCTCCTTGGAGCAATTCTTACCAGCCTGGTTTGTTCTCTTCCTACTCAGTCTAAGAAAGTCTCATCCATTGGTGTTCCATGTTTTTTTATTTTATTTTATGTTTTTATTGATTTCAGAAAGAGAAAGGGAGAAAGAGCTAGAAACATGAGCTAGAAACATCAATGATGAGAGTCATTTATTGGCTGCCTCCTGCTGGGGATCGAGCCTACAACCTGGCATGTCCCCTGAGCAGGAATCGAACCTCGATCTCCTGGACCCTAGGTCGATGCTCAGCCACTGAGCCACGCCAGCTAGGCAGGTGTTCGATGTTCTTAAATAGGGTAGGAATCGCATCTACTTCATCTAATCCATCATTAGTAGACCCCTCTCCAAATCATTTCCAGTGTCAGCTGTTCAGAGGATGCTCACTTACTCCAGGAGCTAGTTAATATTGATGAGGAGCCTCTTCTCTTTTCTCACCTCCAGCTCACTCATTCCTAGGGGGCTGTATATGCTGGACAAGCTGGGTTCCTAGAGATGAGGGGGTTGACCCTTGATGTGTTGGTCTCTCCACAGGACGCGGTACATCCAGACAGAGCTGGGCTCTCGGGAGCGGCTGCTGGTGGCTGTCCTGACTTCCCGGGCCACGCTGTCCACTCTGGCTGTGGCTGTGAACCGCACGGTGGCCCACCACTTCCCTCGATTACTCTACTTCACTGGGCAGCGAGGGGCCCGGGCTCCTGCAGGGATGCAGGTTGTATCTCATGGGGACGAGCGACCAGCCTGGCTCATGTCAGAGACTCTGCGCCACCTTCACACACACTTTGGGGCCGACTACGACTGGTTCTTCATCATGCAGGATGACACGTATGTGCAGGCACCCCGCCTGGCGGCCCTTGCTGGCCACCTCAGCATCAACCAGGACCTGTACTTGGGCCGGGCGGAGGAGTTCATTGGCGCGGGCGAGCAGGCCCGGTACTGCCATGGGGGCTTTGGCTACCTGCTGTCACGGAGTCTCCTGCTTCGACTGCGGCCGCATTTGGATGGCTGCCGAGGGGACATTCTCAGTGCCCGTCCTGACGAGTGGCTTGGCCGCTGCCTCATCGACACTCTGGGTATCGGCTGTGTCTCCCAGCACCAGGTGACAGCCCTTTCAAGTCAGTCCTGGTCCCTGACAACTGTAGTAGTGGCTGAGGAATTGGTCTCCAGGCTGGTTGCTGCGTGCTCCTTCCCAGCAGCACCTCAGGGTGGGGCCGCTGGTTTGCCCTTTACAGACGCAGAGTGTCTCCCTGGCTCCCCTGCTCACCTTGGGCAGTCTTAGGCCCTGGGGGCTGTCAGAAGTGGCATCTTGTCAGGGACCCTGTGAGCAAGTCATAAAGGTGCCCCCTATTCATCAGTCCTCTGCCCATCTGCTCCAACCTTCCATCCCCTCCCCCGACACGCACAGTTGTGATCTGGGAATGTTCTAGAGATGGCCACTCTCCTGCAGAAGTGAGTTAATCCCTGTTCTAGCCCCGAAAGCTGCCCTCTCGGGGCCTGGAGAAGAGGGGACGAAGCCGGCATCTTAGGAGTACTTGCTGGCTCATTCCCTGGGGAAACTGGGGTTTTCTGGGGAAGAGAGCACCCTTAGTTGCCTACTGAACATTCTTCCAAAATCCTGTGGTGAGAGTGAGGCCAAGGTTAAGGGGACGCTGGACTGAGCTCCCGCTTCCTCCGTCCTTCCTCTGCAGCAGCAGTCCTAGGGGTGAATGCTGTGTTTAGTCAGGGCTGGTTGGGTCGTGTGGCATTGATTGGTCTGATTGGTTCCTCTAGGGTCAGCAGTATCGCTCATTTGAACTGGCCAAAAATAGAGACCCTGAGAAGGAGGGGAGCTCGGCCTTCCTGAGTGCCTTTGCAGTGCACCCCGTCTCTGACGGGACCCTCATGTACCGACTGCACAAGCGCTTCAGCACTCTGGAACTGGAGCGGGCGTACAGCGAAATAGAGCAACTGCAGGTGAGCTGAGCTGGCCGGAGCGAGCAGCTGAGAGGGACTGCTAGCGGGGTAGAGAGAGGCTGACCGAACCCACATGTAAAGCAGCTCCAGAGAGAAGGGGCTCTGGGTCCAGGTCAATCATCAGAGGAGCTCCTGGAGACACTTGGGTGCAGTCAGAAGGGTTTGCAGGTGAACTGCGGGCCAGGGCTCGGTATAGTGCATAGAATTGTTTTAGCTCCTCTCCAGTAGCTCCTCTGCACCAAGGAGGCAACAACCCCAAAGTCCCCTAATCTCTAGCACTGTCCTTAAAAAACCCAAGGGAAGAAGATTCTAGTTGATTGTGGGATTGTCAGAGGTGGAGTACAGGTGAACACAAAGGCCCCATTCTCAGGAGGATGGGAGTACTTTGGGTTTGGAAGGGGGAGGCTGCCAAGCTTCATATTTCGGGATGCTTTAATGTCTGCCAGATCACTGCCCCCCCTCCCTCCCAGGCCTCCTCACTGCACTTGTGTAAGGAGGTGTCTACTGTGCCTTTATAGATGAAGGATGTAAGGTACAGGGAGTTGAGTGATTAGCCAAGGGGCACCCCACTAAGTGTCAGGGCCGAGCTCAGAGCCCAGGACTACCTAGCTGGGCACTAACTGTGTGTCCCTCCCACCCTAGGCTCAGATCCGGAACCTGACTGTGCTGACCCCCGAGGGGGAGGCAGGGCTGAGCTGGCCTGTGGGACTCCCTGCACCATTCACACCACGCTCCCGGTTTGAGGTGCTGGGCTGGGACTACTTCACAGAGCAGCACACCTTCTCCTGTGCAGATGGGGCGCCCAAGTGCCCGCTGCAAGGCGCCAGCCGGGCTGATGTGGGTGACGCTGTGGAGACGGCTCTGGAGCAGCTGAATCGGCGCTATCAGCCCCGGCTCCGCTTCCAGAAGCAGCGGCTGCTCAATGGCTACCGGCGCTTTGACCCTGCACGGGGCATGGAGTACACCCTGGACCTGCTGCTGGAAGCTGTCACGCAGCGTGGGCACCGGCGGGCCCTGGCCCGCAGGGTCAGCCTGCTGCGGCCACTGAGTCGAGTGGAAATCCTGCCTATGCCCTACGTGACCGAAGCCACCCGCGTGCAGCTGGTGCTGCCGCTCCCGGTGGCTGAAGCTGCTGCGGCCCCTGCTTTCCTCGAGGCCTTTGCTGCCAGCGTTCTGGAGCCACGCGAGCACGCGCTGCTCACCCTCTTACTGGTCTACGGGCCGCGGGAAGGTGGCCGGGGGGCCCTGGACCCGTTTCTCGGGGTGAAGGCTTCAGCAGCAGAGTTAGAGCGCAGATACCCTGGGACGAGGCTGGCCTGGCTCGCAGTGCGGGCCGAGGCCCCTTCCCAGGTGCGGCTCATGGACGTGGTGTCTAAGAAGCACCCAGTGGACACACTTTTCTTCCTCACCACCGTGTGGACCCGGCCTGGGCCGGAGGTGCTCAACCGCTGCCGCATGAATGCCATCTCTGGCTGGCAGGCCTTCTTCCCCGTACACTTCCAGGAGTTTCACCCCGCCCTGGCACCGCAGAGGTCTCCCCCAGGACCCCCGGGGGCTGGCCCTGACCCCCCGTCCCCTCCTGGTGCTGACCCTGCCCGGGGGGCTCCCGGAGGAGGCCGTTTTGACCGCCAGGCTTCCGCGGAGGGCTGCTTCTACAACGCCGACTACCTGGCGGCCCGCGCGCGGCTGGCTGCTGAACTGGCGGGCCAGGAAGAGGAGGAAGCCCTGGAGGGGCTGGAGGTGATGGATGTGTTCCTCCGGTTCTCAGGGCTCCACCTCTTCCGCGCCGTGGAGCCAGGGCTGGTGCAGAAGTTCTCCCTGCGGGACTGCAGCCCTCGGCTCAGCGAGGAACTCTACCACCGCTGCCGCCTGAGCAACCTGGAGGGGCTGGCGGGCCGCGCCCAGCTCGCCATGGCCCTGTTTGAGCAGGAGCAGGGCAACAGCACCTAGCGCCCGACCTGCCGCGCGTGGCTCCCCTTTCTGCCTGGGCCCCGGGAGGGCCGGGCAAGACGGATGGACAGATGGAGAGCTTGTGGCTGTATTTTTTTAATAAGAAAATGTGATTAAAAGTGTCTTCTGCCAAAGTGTTTTTAGGTCTAGGGAAATGGAGTCAGGAGGAGAATCTGAGGGAGGGGCTGGGGAGTTTTCCCAGAGGGACCCACTGCCGCCCCCCTCCTCCTCTCTCCCAGTTGCCAAAGACCACACAGCTGCTATCAGATGAATGACCTTTAATCCAGTTCCCCGCCTCACCCGCGGGCGGGCAGGCAGGCGGGCGGCAGAGGGTGATGGCAGAGCCCTGGGGGACCGGGTGGCGGGCCGGTGCTCTTTCACAGGGCTCCTAGGTGTTACGCACCACCAGGGACTGCTCCAGCTCCTGCCTGCGCTGCTGGATCTTTAGAGAAAGCAGCAGGAGCAGGGTTACGGTGTTGCTGGTGAGTGACAGGACGACCCCAGCCACCCACCACCCTCCTGTGAAGACCACCTGGGCGCAGAGAGGGCTCCCATGAGGTGAGGGGCATGGCGGAGTGGCAAGGGCACTGACGAGGCTAAAGAGGGAGGTTTCTCTGAGTGAGGAGGGGGGCCTGAGGTGCCCGGGCCCCTTCACACCTTGCAGTAGAAGTAGCGGCTGACGGCTTCCTGGGACCAGGGCTGGTGGTAGAACTCAGCCCGGCGCTCCTCCTCAGGGTTGCCTGCCACGTCTGTCATCACCTGGGAGGGAGCAGTGGGGTCAGCCCTGAGCCTGGCCCCCTCTAGCCCCTGTGTACAACCTTTACTGTCTTCCTGCTATGCTTGTCTCCCATCCAGTGCTCCCCGAGTCCCCTTCACCTTGAGGTCCCGGCTCTGGGAGCAGAGCAGGTCTTGGATGTAGCCTTTGGGGTCTCTGGAGAAGCTTAGCATGAAGTCCCTCTGGATCTTGAGCTGGTTTATGGACTCAATCGTCTCATGGATCTACAGGTAGAAAGACAGACGCTTTCACCTGGCCCTGGTGATATGGGAGAGGAGGGGAAGGAGGGAGGCGAGTGGGGGAGGGACTGCTGCCGTCCCTTTGAAGAACAGTCCCTGGGGCCCCCATGCCTCTGCAGTCCCAGGGAAGGGGGGTGCTTATGTCCTTCATCTCTCCGTAGGCCCATGCTTGTGTCTGCTCTGTCTGTTCTCTGTCATTTCTGGGTTCACATCCCACTGCAGTTCTGGGCTCTGGCCCCACCTTACTGTCCAGAGCGCTGATCTCCTGCTGGTTGGCCGTGGACAGGAGGAAGCTGCTCATCTGCCCCTTCAGTGGCTCCTCCACCTCCACGTCAATGTCATAGCACGCCGTCTTCTTCTGGTCCGACGGGTCCACGCTGCCAGGAAGTCCAGCCCGTGGTGTTCACCTGCCCCCAGAGAGGCTAAGGGCCCCGGGGGCAGATGCAGTGGGGAGGGAGGGGGCATGGG